AGGGGGATGATCATCACCATCTTCAAGGACATCCTTATGAGGGGTCCATGACCCACAATGCACTGACAGACTGGACATGTGCTCATGAGTGTTAATACATTCATCCCAACCTAGACAGAGGCTTCACGTGGTGTGCTCCAACTATGGCCAGCCAGAGGCTCAGAGGATGCACTTACTTTTGATCCAGTGTTGAGAGGGATGGATCAGATGTTTGACAGCTGTAGCATAATTCTAAAGAACAGCATCAGTCTGTATGAGAAGTATTTAAAATTTGTTTAAGTCGTATGGGCTGGAAAATTATTTTTCGAAAATTTTACCAATGTACATCTCCACCAACTTCAGGACTTTTGGCCTGATAGGATATTCTAGAATATTCTCCTAAGTAAATAATAATAGATTTTGACAGAGAGAGGCATGTATAAAAGTATTAGATTAGTGCAGCATGAAAATAGTGAAAAATGGAAATGGTCTTAATGTCTATTAATAGAAATATTCAATGGAATCTTAAGCATCCACTAAATGTAATTTTGCATACTGAAAGCATATTCTTTCCATTTTACAACTGCTGTCTTCTAATTCAATGTGTGCCTCTAATGACAATATTTTAGACTTCATGGAAAAACTGCAGGAAAAATTAAGGGGTAAATCATACCAGTCAGTCAATCACTTTCTCAATCCCTAAGGGCATCCCCTGAAGTGCCCTAGTGTTTCTGAAGGAGACAAGGAAAGGGCATTTGGGACCCGTAAGTGGAGTCTTGGATCTAACCTCAGCCACCTGGGTAGGGCAGCACCTGATTCTCATAAATGTTGGGCTAACCGTGTCATTTCTATGGTGAGTGACTCAGGGGGCAACACTCTCTGAGACATCATCTCTTTTAATACTTATTCCTCAAATTTCTACAATATAGAAACCACTTAAGAAATTATCGGTTTTCCAGACACTGCTATTTGTAGCTTGCATCAATACAGTGGTGCCCCTGTCACTTCGGCTGTATCCATCCACAGCACCACTGCAGACCAGGCTCTCCACTTTCTTCCTGTTCTGTCCTGTGGTCATCTGTGGGCCTACTGATGGGAAAGGAGGTTAGAATGATAAACCCCAGTTGCATCATCTGCTTCAATTTCCAGACATTTAAAGTAAATGGAGTCCAAGAAGGCCTCAAGCCTCCATTGACAAAACACCAACAAATTTTTGGAGCAGGGTCAACTGAGGGATGCATTCAGTCCCAGGACCAAGCTTACAGTCACAAGAATCAAAATATTTTCAGATGCAAAAGACAGCTTTGGAGTCATCTACTTTGAGGTGGGCTAAGGAACTTTTGAGGCATGGCTAAAAGCAGAAGCTTGGGATGAGGCTAGAACTTGCTTGAATCCAAGCTCTTCTACTCATCAACTGTATAGCTTTAGATGAGAACTGTACCAGCAGTGGGCAAGCCCTAAATACAAATATGGGAGACATGGGGGTGGCATATTGACTCTAGAAGGGAAATTTCTATTTTGGAAAGGAGAACCTCAAATCTCCTGTGGCAGAACCATTGCTCACTAATGAGTCCCATCCTGTTGCCTTTTGGCTGTGGAGTTATTTCCACTGGGATGTCCAAGTTGTCTCATTCCTCCGTGGAATACCACTGTTCTGCATCATATTTCAGTCCATCTCCACTATCACACTAACCTGCTTTGTGCCTCATTTTCCTAAAAGCTTCAGTTACTGGTAAAAACTAAGAAATCATTAACTTCTTATTCATTCATCCCATAAATACTTACCGAATACCTACTATGTGCCAGGCATTGTGCTCCGTGCTAGAGACATAAGATGAATCAGGCATGGTCCCTTTCCTGTATGGTCTGACAGCTCTGTAAACAAAAAGGTACAAGGTATATATGTATGTGCGTGTGTATGTGTGTGTGTGTGTGTGTGTGTGTGTGTGTGTACGTACAGGCAGAGTGGGGCTTAAAGAAGCAGGGAAGAGGGAGGTTGTCAGGAAAGTCATCATTTAGGCATGGAAACAGAAGCACACGTTTCTCCCCAGCAGATCCTAAACTCTTGGGGGTTGGGGAGGAATACCTGTGTTTGTCTTGTTCAGTGCTGTACCTCTGATGTCTGGTATAAGCCTTGACATATAGTAGATGGTTGCTAAATATTTGTTTAATGAATACATGAATCTCCAAAGACAAGGAAGTGTTTCCAAGTCTGGGCAGAGAAGGAGGGAAAGGCAGAGGTCATCCTCGGCAGAAAGATCCTTATTTTCAAAACCATGAGGAAACCCTAAAGTGTTTGGAAATCTTTGAGGGGGTTCAAGGTAATGTGATAATAAGGTATGATGCAGACATGAAAACAGTGAACCATAAAGGTGAAGAGGTGACCATGAATTCTGTGCTATGTTGAAGTGATTAGATTTTACCCTGAGGACAATGGTATCAATAAAAAAATTTAACCAAGGAAGAGCAATGATCAACTCTGCATTTTCAAATGAGGCACAGAAATAGCAGGATGACTTTTGGGTGGGAAGATGAGAAACCATTTTGAGAGGACCTGGTAATAGGGGTGAGATTGGAAGAAGGCAAGAGTGTGGACTAAGGTAGCAGCAGTGGGGTTCAAACAACATGAAAGGCTGGCTGGACTTTTGCCTTGTGAGGGATCAAGAGAATGGCAGGAGCTGGCAGTCATTCCTCCAACACTTGTGGATGTCTGCTCTGGTGCTGAGGACAGAACTCTGGGCAGACAGACAAGGCTCCTCTTCTTGGGAACTGCTTGGTCTGGGCTCCAGTCAGCACACAGCACGTGTCTGCTAACTTCCATGTTCTGGAAGACTCAAGGAGAATGAGAACAACAAGCAGAGATACTCAACCCACTCTGCGAGTCAGACTTCCTGCAGGAGGCTGAACTATACCCTCAGCCTGTAGGATGGGAAAATGTCCAGGAACAGAGGTGTTGAGAGAAAGGAAGATACAGGCATGCCCACAGTCTCAGAGGTGAGGAAGAGCATGGAGTGTTTGAGAAACTGAAAGAAGTTGGTTAGGCTGAATGTGAGGAGGAGCCAATGGGAGCCAAGACTGCAGGGACATATGGGGACTGTTGCCAAAGAGTCTTCCTTGAAAGTAGGCTGAGAAGCATGGGCTTTATTCTTGGCTCAATGGGAAAACATTGAAATGTCCCAAAGGAAAGAGCGACAGGATCAGATTCCTATTCTAGATCCATCGCTTTGCTACTTTGAGAAGGGTGTGTTGGAAAGGCTCATGACTGGGCTGGTGGCTGTGAAGAAACCTCCCCCCTTGTTAAGTAGGGCCAGCCCTAACCCAGAGGCAGCCCATCCAGCGCCTTCCTGAAATTTTAGCAACTAAAAGCATTCTGTTCACAATAAGAAAACCATTTCCCCCCACACCCTGATTGGAATGTCCCTGAATAGGTTCATGTTGACCCTCTGGATCAACCTGGATGCCATGCGACTCCCGCGGTTCTTTTGTCTTTAGGCAGTTTCTTTCCTTTTGCCTTTAAAAGATCCCTGTAATTGCTAATCGGGGCTCTTTTCCTCCTCGGAGGCCAGGCCGAGAGCCCGTTTGCGCAAACGTTCAATAAACCCTCTTGCTGATTGCATCTGCCTGTCTGGGTTCTGAGTCTCTGGGGCGTCCACCGGGACACGTTGGCACCCGTGAGCCAGGGTCCAACATTTGGGGGCTCGTCTGGGATCTGAGACGCCCCAGACTCAATCCTAAGACCGGTAGGAGGTAAGACCGAGCTCGCTAAATGTCATATCTGTCTCATCCGTTTGTCTGACTGGCCGGGTCTGTTTTGTGCCGGGTCTGTATTGTGCCTGCAGGATGCTGTACTCTGTATTCTGTATTTGGACCAGCGGGGGAGGCAGACGTGCCCGAGACCCCTGGTCCCCCTCTGGAGTCGGACTCCGGAGTGGTCTGGAAGAGGAACGGAGCCCCGGCACTCCCTCCTCTTCGGGGAGGGTCGTGGTTCGCGACCGCTCCCATCTGAATCTGCCGCGCCAGTCCTGTCGTTCGTGTGCGTCTGTTCGTTCCGTGTTTTTCTTCCTCTCCTGTCCTCCTCCTCAGCGCTCACCCCTTCTCTACACCCATGGGGCAGACTGTAACCACTCCTTTAAGCCTCACTCTAGATCACTGGAAAGAAGTCGCCGGCCGGACACACAATCTTTCGGTCGAAGTCAGAAGACGAAGATGGGTCACCTTCTGCTCCTCGGAGTGGCCGGCTTTCAACGTCGGGTGGCCCAGGAACGGAGCTTTTACAATTGACATTATCTTGCAGGTGAAGGCCCTGGTCTTCCAGCCAGGACCCAATGGACACCTCGACCAGCCGACCTGGGATGACTGCCAACAGCTCCTGCAGACTCTCCTCACCACGGAGGAGACACAGCGCGGCTACCTCGAAGCTCGGAAAAACGTCCCGGGGGTGGATGGGAGGCCGACCCAGCTGCCTAATGAGATTGAGGATGTTTTCCCCTTGGTTCGCCCGACCTGGGACTACGACACTGCTGCTGGTAGGGAGCGGCTCCGTCTCTATCGCCAGGTACTCCTAGCAGGTCTCAAAGGGGCAGGGCGTCGCCCCACCAATTTGGCAAAGGTACGTGCTATAGTGCAGGGAAAAGATGAGACGCCGGCAGGTTTTCTGCAGAGGTTAATACAAGGCTATACTGGCCACCGTAGTACAGGGCTCAGGGCAGAGTAAGTCAGGACAGAGTAGGGACCTGGGAGACAAAAGAGGACCACGGGTTGAACGAGACCAGTGTGCCTACTGCAAGGAAAAAGGACATTGGGTTAAAGATTGCCCAAGGAAGGGCCAAACGCAGGGACCTAAAAAGAAGCCCATTCCTGTTTTGTCCCTAGAAGATGAAGATTAGGGATGTCAGGGCCAGGAACCCCCCTCTGAGCCTAGGATAACCCTTAAAGTGGGGGGACAGCCGGTGACCTTCCTGGTCAATACGGGGGCTCAACATTCAGTTTTAACTGAGGCAAAAGGACCCTTGAGCTCTAAAACATCTTGGGTTCAGGGGGCAACTGGAGGCAAGTTATATCGATGGACAACCGAACGGAAGGTCCACCTGAGCACTGGGCAAGTAACACATTCCTTCTTACTGGTCCCAGACTGCCCTTACCCGCTCCTAGGCAGAGACCTTCTTTCAAAAGTAGGGGCCCAGATACATTTTCAGCAAAAAGGGGCCACTATTACTGGCGCAGAAGGGCAGCCCCTCCAGGTACTGACCTTGCGCCTAGAGGATGAACACCGGCTGCACGAGGACTCTCCACCGTCCGTGCAGCCCCTAGATTCTGAATGGCTCACTAACTACCCTCAGGCCTGGGTGGAAACGGCCGGAATGGGACTAGCTGTAAACCAGCCGCCCATAATTATAAACTTAAAACCCTCGGCCACCCCCATATCGATCCGGCAATATTCAATGAGCAAAGAGGCCAAAGAAGGCATTCGGCCACATATACAGAGACTATTACAATTGGGCATTTTAATACCTTGCCAGTCGCCCTGGAATACTCCTCTATTACCCGTAAAAAAACCCGGCACAGGAGATTACCGGCCGGTACAAGATTTACAAGAGGTTAACTGGAGGACAGAGGACATACATCCCACGGTGCCGAATCCCTACAACTTGCTCAGCACCTTACCCCCAAGCCATGTCTGGTATACGGTGTTAGATCTAAAAGATGCATTCTTTCGCCTAAGGTTAAGCTCTCAAAGCCAGCCTATTTTTGCCTTTGAATGGAAAGATCCTGAGACGGGATTCTCAGGACAACTCACTTGGACAAGGCTGCCACAGGGATTCAAAAACCCCCCACTTTGTTCGATGAAGACTTGCATCAGGATTTGGCAGATTTCCGAGTTGGCCATCCGGACCTCGTCCTTCTGCAGTACGTGGATGATTTGCTCCTGGTGGCTAGGTCAGAACAGGATTGTGTAAAAGGTACAGGGGCCCTGCTTGAGAGACTGGGAGAACTGGGGTATAGGGCCTCCGCCAAAAAGGCCCAAATAGGCCAGAGACAAGTGACCTATCTGGGATATCTCCTGGAAGGAGGCCAGAGGTGGCTGACGGAGAGCCGCAAAAAGGCTGTAGCCCTGATCCCAGCACCCACTAATGCCAAAGGACTACGAGAGTTCCTTGGCAGTGCTGGGTTCTGCCGCCTCTGGATACCCGGGTTTGCGGAGATGGTGGCTCCCCTATATCCTCTCACGAAATCCAACACCCCCTACCACTGGGGAAAGGAGCAACAATTGGCTTTTGACAAAATAAAAAGGGCCTTATTGACCGCCCATGTCCTGAGCCTCCCAGATGTAACCAAGCCTTTTACGCTATATGTTGATGAACATAATGGAATAGCCAAAGGGGTCCTAACTCAAAAACTGGGACCCTGGAAAAGGCCCGTGGCATACTTTTCAAAAAAATTAGACAGCGTGGCTGCAGGATGGCCCCCATGTCTCCGAATAATAGCGGCTATGGCAGTCCTGGTAAAAGACTCAGACAAGTTGACTTTCGGCCAACCCCTCACTGTGGTGGCCCCCCACACCGTAGAGACCATCATCCGCCAGCCCCCTGATCGATGGCTCTCAAACACCCGGGTCACCCATTATCAGGCCATGTTACTGAATTCTGAGCGGATACAGTTTGGAATGGCTACATCTCTAAACCCGGCCACCTTGCTTCCAGAAACCGAGTCCCCCTCCCTAGTAATGCATGATTGCCACCAGATCCTAGCTGAAGTCCATGGCACCAGAGGGGACTTGACGGACCAGCCTTTGCCAGATGCTGAAGCAACCTGGTACACCGACGGGAGTAGCTTTCTACGAAATGGTGAGCGTAAAGCCGGGGCAGCTGTGGTAGATGGGAAAGCTGTCATTTGGGCCAGTGCCTTAGAGCCTGGGACTTCAGCTCAAAGGGCAGAGCTTATAGCCCTAACTCAGGCCCTAAGAAAGGCTAAGGACAAAAAGGTCAGCATTTATACTGACAGCAGATATGCTTTTGCAACTGCCCATGTTCATGGAGAAATATACCGTAGAAGGGGTCTCCTAACCTCAGCAGGTAAAAACATCAAAAACAGAGAAGAAATACAAGATCTTCTCCATTCCCTCTTTCTGCCGAGAAAACTGAGTATAATTCACTGTCCTGGGCATCAGCGAGGCAATGACCTAGTAGCAGAGGGGAACAGGATGGCCGATGAAACAGCACGGGCCGCTGCACTAGGCCCACAGGCCCTCTCCCTACAAGTACCAGAGGCTGTCCGGACACCGGGGCAACTCTCTCTCGAGTACTCAGACAGCGACCTAGATATCGTCCAGCAAATAGGGGCAGAATATGACGAGCAAATGAAGGTCTGGAAACACCAAGGGAAGACGGTCCTGCCCCAGAAAAGGGCCAAAGAACTGGTGACTCACCTCCACCGATGGACTCACCTCGGACACAAAAAATTAAAAGCACTCCTCCGGAGAGAAGGTCAGACCTATTACATTCCCAAACTCCCCTCCCTGATCCAACAGGTAACCGACGCTTGTGTACCTTGTGCTAAGGTAAATACCAAACACCTCAAGATGCCTGAGGGAACCAGGATGAGGGGAGAAAGACCCGGAACTAATTGGGAAGTAGACTTCACTGAAATCAAGCCAGGTAAATATGGTAACAAGTACCTCCTAGTGTTTATAGATACCTTTTCAGGCTGGACAGAAGCACTCCCCACCAAGCGAGAAACCGCCCAGGTGGTTGTCAAGAAAATCCTGGAAGAAATTTTCCCCCGGTTTGGACTGCCCAAGGTAATAGGGTCGGACAACGGCCCCGCCTTCGTCTCCCAGGTAAGTCAGTTGGTGGCCAGATTACTGGGGATAAATTGGAGGTTACATTGTGCATACAGACCCCAGAGCTCAGGTCAGGTAGAAAGAATGAATAGAACAATTAAAGAGACCCTAACTAAATTGACATTGGAGACTGGCACTAGAGACTGGGTCCAACTCCTCCCTATGGTTCTGTTCCGAGTCCGGAACACTCCCGCGCGCCATGGGCTAACTCCTTACGAGGTTCTCTATGGAGGTCCCCCACCAGTAACGGACTTACTAGATTCTGCTATTGACCCTCTTGCTAACACTCCCGGTTTACAGGACAGGCTAAAGGCGCTCCAGATTATCCAGCACCAGATCTGGAAACCCCTTGCGGCTGTCTACCGCCCCGGAGACACAACCGGCCCACACCCGTTCCAGATCGCTGACTCCGTCTACGTCAGGAGACATCAGTCCAGGACGCTTGAGCCCCCCTGGAAGGGCCCATATACTGTACTACTGACCACCCCAACCGCCTTAAAGGTAGACGGCATTGCTGCTTGGGTCCACGCCTCACACGTCCAGCGCGCCCCATCAACGAGCACCGCTGGCGCCAGCCAGGACGGACCGGACGAGCCACTCCAATGGAAGCTCCACCGCACCCAAAACCCGCTCAAGATAAGACTTTCAAAAATTGTTCAATGACAGTTGTTATATTCCTACCTCTCCTAGCGCTCTTCACCTCCGCCAAAGGTGACCCTCATGCCCTCAAAAGGTTAACCTGGCAGGTACTAATGTCTGGGGGTGACGAGGTCTGGTCTATAACTAAGACCGCCCCCGTGGGAACCTGGTGGCCTAACCTATATCCTGACCTATGCAAGCTAACCATAGGGGCCCCTAGCCCATGGGACCTAGAGGGATACTTCAACACCTCTAGAGCCCCTAACCAAGAAAGCCCTCCAGGGCAACTGGGATTAGACCCATGGGGAGGATGTGGCACGCCTGACAGAAGGGCCATGCTAAGCACTCTTCCCTTTTATGTCTGTCCCGGGCACCACAGAGATCGCAGGCTAAATCCCACCTGTGGAGGAGGGGAATATTTCTATTGTAAAAATTGTGGGTGCGAAACTACTGGGGATACAGAATGGAGGCCCTCCTCCTCCTGGGATTATATCACTGTCAAGGCTAACTATACTCACCCGACATTTAGCAAATGGAAAACCCTTAATTATGGGCCCTGCCAAGGGTGGTGTCATCCCCTATGGATATCCTTCACGGAGCCCGGAAAAAGGGCTACTTACTGGGCCAATGGATATACGTGGGGACTCAGGTTATACAAAGAAAGAACAGATGATGGTTTTATATTCAGAATTAAACTAAAAATAGAATCCCCAGACCCCGTGGCGATCGGGCCTAACTCGGTCCTCGGGGAACAAAGAGCTGCCCCGGCCCTAGCCGCAGGGAGTGCCACACCCACTAACTTCCCGGTCACTCCAACCCCTCGGTCGTCACCCGAGACGGGACAACGACTGTTTAATCTTATCATAGGGGCATTCCTGGCCCTTAATCGAACCAGCCCCGATGTAACTAAATCCTGCTGGCTCTGCCTTGCATCCCCCCCCCCCCTTATTATGAGGGAATTGCTACTTCAGGGACCTATAATAACATCACTAGCACTCAGGGATGCACACCCGACTCCCAACCACAACTCACCCTTACAGAAGTTTCAGGACAGGGAACCTGCATAGGAACACCCCCCGGGGCTATCAGAGACTCTGCAACACTACCACCCCGATTTTGGGGACTGATTCTTACCTGGAGCCCCAGCCGGGAACTTGGTGGGCATGCAACAAAGGCCTCCCCCCCTGTGTGTCGGCTAAGGTTCTAAATAGCTCAAACGACTTCTGTGTCATGGTGCAGATCATACCCAGGGTGTTCTATCACCCTGCTGAAACTCTAGAAAATCAGTATGATAAACATCCCACCCGTTTTCGGCGCGAACCTGTCTCCCTAACCTTAGCCGTTATGTTGGGACTAGGGGTCGCTGCTGGGGTGGGTCCTGGCGCAGCTGCTCTGATCCGGGGCTCACGACGTTATATGGAACTCCAAACAGCTGTAGATGAGGATCTAGGGACACTAGCGCAGTCCGTTTCTAAGCTAGAACAGTCCCTCACCTCACTTTCAGAAGTAGCACTTCAAAACAGGAGAGGCTTGGATTGACTAGTCCTGAAAGAGGGAGGACTGTGTGCGGCCCTGGGAGAGGAATGCGGTTTCTATGCAGACCATCCTGGAGTCATCAGAGACTCCATGGCCAAACTCAGGGAAAGGTTAAATAAAAGACAAAGGGACCGGGAGGCCCAGCAGGGCTGGTTTGAAAGCTGGTTTCATCAGTCTCCCTGGTTGACCACCCTAATCTCTACCATTCTGGGCCCTCTAGTTGTCCTGCTCCTGCTGCTAACTTTCGGCCCCTGCGTCCTCTACCGGCTGCTCCAGTTCATCCGAGAAAGATTGCCTATTACCCAAGCTCTGGTATTAACTGTTAGGTTTTTTGGTAACTAAATGGAAATGAGACCGCCAAGGCAAGCGAGGGTCCAAGAACAGATTTTATTGCAGGCACCCTCGGGCGAGGTTCCACGACTCAAGGAGGGGAAGAGTGAGTCAGGGAAGTCGCGCCAAGACAAGGTGGCAGGGGGTTTACATAACGTTGTAAGGCAGAACGGTTTCCTACTGGTCGGCTCATATGCAAAGGGAGGATTGCAATCCAACCAGTCAGAGTGACCCTCACTATGCAAAGGAAGGATTGCAGTTCGGCCAGTCAAAGGTGACTTCCTCCTCTGGGGTTTGAAGGGCATTGGGTCCGGTTGGGTAAGTCCAAAGGAGAGGTCTAAGGGTCTGCGTCAAGCTGTCAGCAGGTCATTGGTCCATTGACGTCCCAGGTGGAGGTGGTGGCAGGAACCTCAGCCATTTTGGGGTATCCGCCATCTTGAGGTGTTTCTCTTCCCGCCTGGCCCCAACATTAACTCAGCAATGTCGGGCCCTCCAAACTGAAGAAATAAATGTTCCCTAAGATATTAAGGTTAAAATCAGCCCAAACAAGAGGAGGGAATGAAGAAACCTCCCCCCTTGTAAGTAGGGCCAGCCCTAACCCAGAGGCAGCCCATCCAGCGCCTTCCTGAAATTTTAGCAACTAAAAGCATTCTGTTTACAATAAGAACACCATTTCCCCCCACACCCTGATTGGAATGTCCCTGAATAGGTTCATGTTGACCCTCCCCGAAATCAACCTGGATGCCATGCGACTCCCGCGGTTCTTTTGTCTTTAGGTGGTTTCTTTCCTTTTGCCTTTAAAAGATCCCTGTAATTGCTAATCGGGGCTCTTTTCCTCCTCGGAGGCGGAGAGCCCGTTTGCTTGCGCAAACGTTCAATAAACCCTCTTGCTAATTGCATCTGCCTGTCTGGGGTCTGAGTCTCTGGGGCGTCCACGGGGACACGTTGGCACCCGTGAGCCAGGGTCCAACAGCTGGAAGTGCTCTGGGTGACAGAAGACAGAGGTCTGAGTTGGGGTCACAGCCCAGAGAATGCAGCAGAAGTGGAGGGGTGCTTCTGCTGCAGCTTCAATAGGTGCTGGCAATCAATATGCTATAGGGAAAAAAGCCATGATTGAAGGCAAGATTTTTTTTTAAGATTTTAATTATTTATTCATGAGAGACACACAGAGAGAGGCAGAGACATAGGCAGAGGGAGTCAGTCAATCACTTTCTCAATCTCTACGGGCATCCCCTGAAGTGTCCTAGTGTTTCTGAAGGAGATAAGGAAAGGGCATTTGGGACCTGTAAGAGGAGTCTTGGATCAAACCTCAGCCTCCTGGGTAGGGCACCACCTGACTCTCATAAATGTTGGGCTAACCGTGTCATTTCTACGGTGAGTGACTCTCAGGGGACAACATTCTCTGAGACATCATCTCTTTTAATACTTATTCCTCAAATTTCTACAATATAGAAATCACTTAAGAAATTGTCAGTTTTCCAGACACTATTATTTGTAGCTTGCATCAATACAGTGGTGCCCCTGTCACTTTGGCTGTATCCATCCACAGCACCACTGCAGAGGGAGAAGCAGGTGAGCCCGATGAGGGACTCGATCCCAGATCCTGGGATCATGACGTGAGCCAAAGGCAGATGCTCAACCACTGGGCCACCCAGGTATCCCTGAAGGCCAGATTTGGAGGAAAAATAACTGGATGATAAATAGTGGTGACTTCCTCTGAGCTGGGGTACCCTGGAATAAGCTCAAGTTCTGTTGAGTGTGAGTGTAGATGTGCGTGTACACGTAAGTGTATCTGTGTGTGTGTGTACACATTGGTACATACAAAACAGAGATGTCACAGTGTTTACTTGAGAACAATTTGAAGCCATCAGGTAGCCTGAATCAGGAGCTTCAGCCCACACTGGAGACATAGCTTCATAGGTCACTGGGACAGAGACAGGTGGGTCCATGACAGGGGATGAGACCCGCTGGAACAGAGTGAGAATAAAGAACCAGGTATAGGAAAGAGACAGAGACAGAGAGGTTGACTCATGACAAAACCCATGAAGAATCTGGAACTCCTGCCCTTTGACTTTTCCCTTGATCACATCTGTGATAGCATCCTTGGAAGAGCCTGAACATCTGTGGTTCTCAAGCTTGATAACGAGGAAGGGAGAGGACAGAAGTATGATGAGCACAGGGTGTAAATTGGTGAGAAAAGTTATTTTTACGATGTTCCAAGAGATGAAATTCAGAGATCTGTGCCACTTTTTCAAAGCATAACGGCAATTGTTGCCAGTTCCAAGGGTCACACGGAAGGCTCAGAAACTCTAGTCTGGGGTGTCTTCTGCTCCCCCTCCCCCATAGATTTAGGACTAGGGGATGGAAGTGGAGGAAGGAATGGCTCCAAGGAAACACACAGGCACATGGCACCAGACTGAAGGTCTGGGAATAAAGTTTTTTGAGAAAAGTTTGTATCTTGGCTCCACTTCCTGCTTTTTTTTTTTTTTCAGTATGACTCAATTTTGGTGAGAAATAAGCATTTTGGCTGCTCCTCAAGAACAGAGCCTGTTGTCGATGAGAACTTGGGACAGCGTGCTCTCCTCTCTGAAGACCCGCTGTCCTCTCTTCCCAAATCCGTCTGCTCTGGCTCAGGAAGGAACACTGAGCCCAACACGTATGTGTCAGATATGCGGCTCCGTGTCGACAACAGCCAGCCATCTGCAGGAGGCCGGGTCTGCCAGCTTGTCACCAGCAGGGAAACCCATTTCACATCCTCTCCCACTTACCAGTTGCAAATTCTCTTTGTTCCACTTAAGCTCTCTGGGGGGGGGGGGGGGGGGCTTATAACCAAGGTAGCCACATATTTGCATAGTTCGGGTTAAAAATTTTTATTTCACAAATTATTCCCTTTGTATGACAGTTGAGTATTTTACTGAGGATAAAGCCCACAGGTCAGGAGTGGGAAGAAATTTTGTGAGGCAGGGCTTTTGCCTGGGGAATTTAAAAATTGATAATGTCTGATGCCAGAGATTCTGACTTAATTGGTAGAAGGCATGGCCTGAGCATCAGGGTTTTTTAAAGTTCCCCTACGTGATTTTAATCTGCAATAAAGTTTGAAAGCCACTGGTTGGGGAAAGTGCTTCTCAAACTTCAATTTGCATCAAGATCCTCTGGACACCTTGTTGAATTGAAGATTCTGACTCAGTAGTCCTGGGGTCAGCCTGAGATTCCTAATTTTACTAGGCCGCTAATGCAGCTGGTCTGTAGACCACACTTTGAGCTGCGAGGTTCCAGATTAGAATTAAATTCCAAGACTTTATTTCTCTTTATAACTGTTATAGTTATTTATCTTCTCCATAACTGCTCGATGCACATGACCTGGAGCATGATATATGCTCAATAAACATTTGTTGAATGAATGAATAAGTGTTAGACAAGGCGCGGTATCCAACGTAAGGCGGTATCTAACCATGCATGATCAGGCTCTTGTTATTTACTGGGCTGGGGGAGATGGGAGAGAGTAGCAAGGGTGGGAAATGAGCCAATGTGTTAGAATCTAGGTCCGCCTGTGCATTCTGAGAGCTGTCCACATAGTGTCTGGCACATAGCAGGCACTCAACACACCTTAAAAATCACTTTAGTGACCTTCCAATAATTTTTCTCTGCTTCAGAATAATCCTTCAGTGTTTTTTAAACCTTGGGTTCCACATATGTACATTACACTACACCCACCCACCATTCATCTATCCGCCCATTCACCCACCCATCCATCCATATGCATATTTTGGCAAATGTTCAACAATAAAGTTTTTTTATTATTATGCAAGGGAGTCCACTAATGTTCTTTGTTTAGTAGTTAAACAGAACAAATGTATAAAAGAAATAGCCCTCTCCTGGCAACGTGAAAAATATAAGTTCCAAGATCAATCAGGAAGACATACTTTAAAAGGCAAAGACACAGAAACAAATCTACATTTGCCTCTATTTCCCCATCAAACTCAGCATTGACATGCGTATCCTTCTTTGTTATGAACCAGAGTTACTCAGAAATGAAATGCCTGGCCCAGGACAGAACTCAAGTTGGAGTTTCCCTGGGCCCGGTGGAGAGAGTGGGGAATCAGAGGAAGGAAAGAGTACTAACTCCCCCTGGGCAGACCCAAGGTAGGGCCCTGATGAGAGATAATATTGACTAGATAGTTCTACAGAGACCTGCCAAAAATAGGATTGGAGGTGATAGAGATGGGCAAGGCTTAGCCAGACAATCATTTTGTATTGCTCACTGGTCCAAAATTGTTCCCTGAGATGTGCTTTCCAGCTATTTGTCCAAATTTCTATGATCTTAACAGATTGCTCCTGGGTAGAAAATAGTTTGACTTCCCCAAGCTCTGACAACCCTTAATTCATCCTCGTTAATTCTTTTGTAGCCTGTGTGGATTCCAGAGGGAAACGCACTTATCTGGTTGTCTGGCTCAGTGGCTGATTTCCTCAGCATTGCCCAGGAAGCCGTACTCAAGGAATCTTAATGCATTGAATGGCTGGAGGCAGACACATTCGCTTCTCGTGGGTGTTCAGCCTTTGGAAGACAGCAAAGCCAATGCAGACAATGTCTCCAAGGAATGGCCAGTCCACGTGGTTTCACCCAAAGAAGCTGGCAGCCCACGGATGAGAGATGATAAAAGCAGAGGCGAGCCTTGTGGGGGTAGAGGATTTTGCAGCAACCAGCAATCATAAGGCAGGTGCTGCCCCTACGTCTGTTCCTCCCCTCTCTGACCAGCCACAGACGTCTTTATGTATTGCCTGACAATTTCTCAAATCTTCATTTAAAAAAGTTGCCTGCTTGATCATTTTGACGGCTGAGACAGAGAAACTGAAAGCTTGCCCATGCTCTACCACTAACCAGTGACCAAGCTTGGCTAAGCCCCTTTCCTCCTCTGTCCTCTCCACCATGAGAAGGGACATAGAGGAGAGGCAGGAGGGACACGGAATAGTCATTACCAGCACAGACTGTATTCCTACCGCTTGGCTCCTTAGGAGCGTAGTTGACTTCTGGGAGTTTCTCAACCTCACTTTTCCCATCTGTACAATGAGGATCTCCATTGTAGCCACTTCATAAGATTGTTGCAAAGATTAAACGCATCAATATGTGTAAAGTGCTTAGAACAATGCCTGGTGCGTGGAAAGCGCAATGCAAACACCTGCTATTTTTAAGAATAGAGGATCCCTATTTAAGTAAGTTTGCTTCTAGATTTAAAGAACGAGTCCTCACCTTAGTGAATATTTTTGGCTGCCCACTCAACATTCATTTCCCTATTTTCCCTTTCCCAAAAGCCCCTAAATATCCTTTGGAGAAACACCTTCAAATCTCCTCCTGTGTGACAATGGATCAGTTCTAGACCACGTAGGCTCTACTCCAATGACGGCAATAGTTCATTCAGTGAATCTGTTTAAAATACATTATTAAAAAAAGAAAGAAGAAAAGAAAAACTTGGCCAAAGCACTCTGAGTGAACTTGAAAAAAATCCCTCCCTTCACCTTTTATCAGGATGGTTCTAATGCACGTCATGAGATGTGCCACATCAGAAATGATCCTTCTGTTCCCGTCAGCAAACTCATTTTGTTAAGTTTAAAAAAAAAAAAAAAAAAACAACACGAAACCAAATCTGTACACACAGGATTTCTCGAGGACATAATGATGATCTCTTTCATTCATAAAGCAACTTACAAAGGGAGTCCATATCCATTCACTGATATTCCTACAGTAACATTCAGAGGTCGCATTTTTAGAAAAAAAAATATTGAGTCTCTGGATGATAGCCTGAGATTCTTGGAGGCCTAGTGGCCCATCTCGCTGGAAGGCAGCGGTGTGGCCATAATCTGAAATTGTTACTTCTGACCCAGCAGGGTGCACTTTCCTTTTGCTAAAACACTTTCTTCAGGGTTTTCAGGAACCCCAGGCTCTTCTGGTTCTCCTCTGAACCATGACCACTCCCTCTCTAGCCCTTTGCTCAATCCTACTCCCTTTTCCAATCTCTAAAAGTGAGGGCCCAGGACTATGTTGTCTCTCTCCTCTATGTGCCCTCTCTCATTAGATAAGCCCACTTATCCCATGGCTTTGTGTGCTGTCTACTTGCTGACAGATGTGTTTATTGTCAGTATTCTCATTAGAATATAAATATCAAGCAGCAGGACTTCAACCATTCTATTCAACTCTACAGTCTAAAACAGTGGATTTCATTTACTTTGGATATATGCCCAGAAGTGGGATAATGAGATTGCTGGATCATATGATAGTCCTACTTTTAACTTTTTGAGGAACTCCTGTACTGTTTTTCACAATGGCTACCCCAATTTACATTCTCCCCAATAATGTTCAAGCATTTCCTCCTTTACTCCATATCATCACCAACATTTATCTTTTGTCTTTTTGGCCACAGCCATATAAATAAATATAAATATAAATATAAATATAAATATAAATATAAATATAAATATAAATATACATATACATATACATATAATATACATATACATGAAATATTAGCCTTAAAAAAGAAGAAATTCCAGTCATTTTCAATGACATGGAGAACATCATACTAAATGAGATAAGCCAGACACAGAAAGACAAATCCTGCATCATCTCTTTCATATGTGTAATCTCCAAACCTAGAGTTCACTAAAGTGGAGAGTAGAATAGTGATTTCCAGGGTCTAGAGGGTGGGAGAAATGGGGAGAGAGACATTAGTTGAAGGCACTCAATAAATGTGGGAAGAGTAAATGAATGCATAATTACAAATACAAAGCACTTGCTCCAAAATACTTTGTTTCTGAGACGGGCAGTGTAGAACAAGGCTTCTCAACCACAGCACGGTTTCCATTTGGGGCTGGATCTGTTCGCAGGGGCTGTCGTGGGCACAGCAAGATGTTTAGCAGCATCCCAAGGTTCTACCTGCTGTGACAACGAACCATCTCTTTGGCTATTATGGGATAGCTCTGGGAGTGCAAAATTATCCCTGATTGAGAATCATTGCGTGGTAGTGGAGAAACCTGGTTCCTGTCAACAAAAGATCAGGGTTCCAGTTTCAGCCATGTGCTACGTGAGTTATCTCTCTGAGGCTCTACTTTCAGATCTGTAACTAAGGGGTTAGAATACCTACCCAATAATGCAGTTGTGAGGATTATGTGCTTAGTGTTACCCGAGATAACTAGTTGGTGCCAAGTTAACCCTCATCTTCATCCTGGTTCTGGGACCGACCAGCCTTGTCAAGGTCTCATTCCTCATTTTGAGCCCTACATGGTCTCTGGATTTTGTTTCACTATTGTTCCCTGTTCTCAAGGACTGTCCTCCCTCTCTGTCCCCAGTGCCTGGGTCCTTCCTACCTGTCTTTTGAGCTTCATCCTTTAGTCATTTCCCCAGGCTCTGGGCATGTCTCCATTCTGTGTCCCACATCTTGCTCTAGAACTACAGCTCCATCTCTGTTTTCCTCCCTGGTTTTCTCCATACTTGAGCCCCTCCAGTCCCATCACCTTTCCAGCCACCTGAACCACACTGGGGTTACTCCTACACCAGCAGCTCATGCTGCACCCACAACTGTGTGGATGCTAAGCAAATCACGTACCTGGGATTAATTCCATCACCTTCAGTGACACACAAAGACAATGACTTTCTGGGCTCCA